CATAAAATACAATTTGTTGATATGCCCCTGAAAGCTTCGTGGCGACTATCATCGGGAAGTCAGATAGCTTTCCTTTTTAGCATAATGATTCCTTTCGCGGCAATTTCCTTCGTAAGGTTACCACTTCTGAAAGAGATTAGTAGGAAATACAAAGAAAGAGCGAACATTACTTTTGCAATACAACCGCCTGATCAAAATCTTTTGGTAGTCTTCTTAGAGAGATTCACTGTGATTTAATTTTGAATAGTTTACTAATAATTAGCTATTTTTTCCCCACATGTGTAAAGAAACCTATTCATTTTTTTAAATAAATGCTGAAAGTTGAATCATAAAATACCAAATTTGCCCACATTATTCTTAATAATGAGATTATTACGTTTTAACGGAAGTGTATATTGTTACTCGTGAGTAATTGTTGGTATTCGTGAATAATGGGTAGTTTGAAATAATTTGTTGGATTTTATTCTCATATTAAGCTTCGGAGAATACATTGAGCAGTGCGCATTTAAGCTAAATGATTACCTATAAACTGACGGGGGAGAAGTGTGTATGAAATAAACATGTGTTTCATGTGTACATGTGTAAACAATCAGGGTACCGACAAACAGTACCACAGCTATATTCAGAAAAGATAATACTGTTATTCTGGAATGCTGCTATAAATTAGGATTCGAATGAACTCCATACTATCCCATTCTCCCGCCCGTGATTATTATTTCTGAATATATCTTACAATTTCAGTGCCAGTGAAGATCTACAGACCGAGTATCAGATTGGTCTTCAAGGAAGACGTTAATTCTGTAACTTTGGGATAATGCGATGGTTTTGTAATCGTTTGGCAATTAAATCGCCTTAAATTATCTCTCAAGATAGTTTCTGGTATCACTTCCTGCAGCTATTACTTTAGAAGGTTAGAGAAACGATTCTGAGTAGTGTTTAGGCAAAAAGGTTGGAGATAGTAGTATGACTCTAGAGTCAGACTCAAATATTCTTCCGAGATTATTTCTAGCGGTACCTTTAAAAAAAATATTCAGATTTTTAACGATCGCCCAAAAGGGTTTGTTAAGGTTTTTCACGCTCTCGCTGAGCTCACTGTTTTATTTCTTTTTCTTTTTTAATTTATTACTAGGCGTAATTTTCTTCGCACTAACGCCATATATAATTCAATAGCAAAATTACAAAAATTTTAAAAGCAGCATAGCAGAATATGTTTTGAATTCCCGATGCAACGTTAAGTGTTGACACACACTTTTTCCGTTTTTAGCCCAAAGGGATTTGAGTCCCGAAGGATTATTACTTTCGTTTTGGCATTTTGCGTTGGACTCCTATAAATGTCGGTTCACTTTTCAAACTGTTGCCACAAAATGTTAGAGTCCTGCATTATATTTGAAGAAATTAAATAATGAAAAATCTGCATAAATGTATGTATATTTCTAACATTGTGATAAAACAATGGTGCATAGAGCCATCGAATTTTGAATGACGTAATCCTTCTACGAATATGGGCATGTGGAAGACCAAATTTTAAATTTGTTTTATTATCGGTTTCATATTTTGTAAAACTTTAACGAATTTTTGATGAACAAACTCAAGAATTTCATAGCGATCAATGCAACGTTGCACAGAAAAAACATTTTTATCTCCAGCGCGGGAGACTTCTGTATCGGAAATTCTAAAGATATACTCTATTTGAAATTATTTTGCTATGTTTCTCTGAACTGAATTTTATGGTTTAAGTACAAAGAACATGATATTTAATAAATAATAAAGGTAACACACAGAACGTTAGAAAAACGCCACTTTGGACGTTATTTAAAATCTGAAACCTTTCAGATTTTTAAAAAATGTTTTTAATTTTTTTCAAGTTTTCTCAGTTTATCCTAGCAACGTTTTCTTCCTGAGATGGTTTTAGAAAACTTTTTTTTAATCTTTTTTAACGTTTTATGCGTTTACTTTATTTATTAAATATCACGTTCTTGGTGCTTACACCACATAAAATTAGATTCAATAGTAAAATCATAAAATATTTTAAAGCAGCGTATCTTTAAAATTTCTAGAATTTCCGACAGTCTCGTGCGCTGCAGACAAAAATGTTTTACTCCGTGCAGCACTGTACCACTGTCACTTCTTGCTACTGTGCTACCATTTCTCACTTTTGAAATCGTCGAGTTTCTTAATCAAAGATTCGTTAAAATTTTACAAAATATGAAATAGATAATAAAATTTAAAATTCGGGCTTCCCAGGTGCCCATGCTCGGTGGAGGACTACGTTATTCAAAATTTGACGGCTGTAGGTACCGTTGTTTTTTCACAGTGTGAGAAACATATATACATTCATGCAGATTTTCTTTCTTTAATTTCTTTGAACATAATACTGGAGGATAATATTTGATGGCAACAATCTGAAAAGTGATACAACGCATTTAAGTGATTCAACGCAAAATGCCGTTTCGAGACTAATATTCCATTCTGGACTCACGTCCTTTTGGGGCTAAAAAAAGACAACAAACCATATTCTGTTTAAGATGTTAAGGAAAAATCCAAAACCACCAAACTGACCATTGTCATAACTTCGAGAAAATAATTGAACAAGGATGCTGAACGCACAGTATGAATCTGATGTAAAATTCTGTTTCACCTGCCAGTTGTTTTTCTAACTGAAGAAAACTAGTAATATTTCTTTTATTTTTTACTTTTTTTTTTTTTTTTTTTTTTTTTTTTTTTTTTTTTTTTTTTGTGCTACTGACAGGGATTGCATGCTCTTGCATACTTTGCCTTAATTAATTCGCCCGGTTCAGCATCTTCCAGGCTTCCAGCATCTACTAAGCATCTTCCAGCATCTACTAAGCATCTTCCAGGCTTTAAAACAGATGAACATCTTTTTTAGTTTTTTTATCCATGTAAACATTGTGTCTTCTGAGCAAACAGCTGAAGCCTCTCATCTAAATTATCTTTAAGACAGTAATGAACGTTTTCAGAACAAAGAATTTATCGAATATAATTTATATTTGTTGCTACAGTGCTCATGAGCAACCTTTGTTAATGATATTACACTCTAAATCTCGCAGAGTGGGATTTGGAGGGTGACAGCAGTTTTCGCTCCGTTGCGTGTCAAACAACCCAAATTTACTGTCTTGGTAGCAGAACATGTTTCCCACTTGCAATAATAACCTTGGGGAAGGGAGTGAATTGAAGGAGCAGGACGACCCCCTGTCTTATCATCGTCCACCCAGACTGACCAAACAAGTTTGTTCTTTGGCTAAGCACCATTTCAAGCGAGGACAGTCGTAACAATGGATACAGCTCCTTTGCCAAAAGTAAGTTCGCTTTTAAAATATATATACAATTATTTCTTAATATAAATATCTTAATTATTATAAATTATAGTTAGTTTATTTGTCTGTTTTAGTTTTTTTTTTTTTTTTTTAGGTGTCTGTAAATTTGCTTTAAGAGTGTAATGCTGTAACGTAGTTTTTTTTTTATTATTACGTACTGCTAACACAATGAAAGCTGTACGTATGGATGGATGGTACTTTTTGTAAATAATTCTTAACATTATTTTTATTTTTGAACAATTTACACAAAGCTATCGAATTTAATTATTTAAATTTAGTTTTGCATGCATTCCTATTTCAAATAGGAAGAACAGCGGTGGAAAAAAAAAAAATGCATACTAAAGTTTTGATTTTTTTTTTTTAATAACACAAGTGTGTAAATTATTTGGTAGTATTGGAAGAAATAAAAACCGTATACTTTTACTGAATTTCCTATTGAACTCAAATCATATCGTTTTCAGCTTCTAGTAGTTTTTTAATAGATTTTTTTTAACTTTCATTTTTTATAAATTCTGCTTATAGTTTGTGACAATAAAATTCACTTACTGTTGCAAAGCTGAATTTTTCCAAAAAATATAAATACTAGCACTACCTGTACCTGGGTCATATCAGCATTCTAAAACTTATATTTTTGCAAATATGTTGTTATTCTCGAGAGTGTAGGTGTAGCTAAGGCCTCTTGAACATTCAAAAGTCCGGGAGGCCAATAAAGCTGCTAAGACGGCTTTCCGTTTACGATTTAAAAAAAATCTTGCATTCTTTAAAAAAGACTGAAAGCTTCAGATTTTAAATTACGTCCAAAGGGGCGTTTTTTTTAACATTTTTGTGTGTTACCTTTATTTATAAAATATCATGTTCTTCGCTTCGCACTTAAACCATAAAAACATTCAACAGCAATATCGCAAAATAATTTTAAAATGAACATATCTTTAGAATTTCCAATACAGAGTCTCGCGAGCTGGAGATATATATATATATATTTTTTTTTTTTTTTTTTTTTTTTTTTTTTTTTTTTTTTACTCGTACAGTCTTGCCATTGCTCGCTTTGAAATCGTTTACTTTGTTAATCAAAAATTCGTTGAAGTATTACAAAATATTAAATAATAAAGCAAATAATAAAACCAATTTCAATTTCAAATTCCAATTAGGGCTTCCACATGCCCATATTCTATGGAAGATTACCTTATTCAAATTTTGTTGGCTCTAGGTACCGTTGTTTTATTACAATGCGAGAAACATACATACATTCATGCAGATTCTTCATTATTTAATTTCTTTAAATATAATGTTTGGTGGCAGCAATTTGAAATGAAACATATCGGGAATATGCAAAATGCAAAATATATGCAAAATGCCAAAACGAAATTAACAGTCCTTCTGGGAGAATTGCCCCTTTGGACTAAAAAAACCCAGCTATTTAAAAAAAAAAAATAATAAGTTTTGATTTTCTGATGACAAACTGAAAACTATTGTATTATTAAATATTCCAGGTAATTCATGCAGATAACTATTTAATGAGAATTCATTTTCAATCAAAGACCAAGCATAAAATTTTAGTACCTTGTCCATTCTACATAGGTTCTATATTCCTAATACTTGTGCCACAGCAAATTGTCAAATTTATCTGCCCCTTGTCTTTTTTTTTTAAACTGTAGCACAATAAAATACATGATAGTTCAAAATTATCAGATTTTTATAACTGCAAGAAGTTCCCGAAGATGCTGTTAATGTCCTAAAAGGTAATTTTATTTTCTACTCTGTTTTAAATTAAAAACTATACCTAGTCCGGATTTTTGAAAATTCCAGATATTCAGTTGACTTTATATGCTATATACATGTATTTATTTTATGCTAAATATGTATTTACTGACAAATATACGTATATGCCAATATATAATATGTACATACACCAAATGTTTATTTCTTTTAATGCAAATAAGAAAATTTAAAAAAACAGTATTTATTTTTAAAAAATGTAAGGCATGTTTTTTTCAGACTTAATTAAATAGTAAAATTCGTACATGTCTAAACATTTTTATTTCAACTGAAACAAAACGACTTTTTTATATGTAAGCCATAAAACCTAAATGTTTGATGCATTTTTATTTTATAATATGAAAATTAAGCAATATTGCCTTATATTTGTGGCAGCGCCTATCATATTTAAAAAATTAACTTATTTTATTAACAGATAATAGAATGCACAATTAAAAAACAGCTTCCCCTCCCTTCTATTTCCCCTCCCTTCTATTGCGGGAGAAAACCTAATTCGACGGGTTATTTTTATTTATTTATTTCCCCCTTCTAAGAAAACTTGTCAGGCATACTTTCAAAATTGTCGAAATATATACTAATTTAAAAACATGATAATTTCTAAAATGATTCATAGATTAATTCATATACATCAACTCAATAGTTAGAAAGTTAAACTAATGACATTTACTTATTACTTTTCAAGATTATTGCCTTTTCATTTCAATTAGTTATTATATCTTCTCCTAGTGATATTAAAATGAGTGAGAGGATCTGATGAAGTAATGTTCAAAATAATATAATTGTTTACATTAGCAAAAGCTATTGTTGTATCAAACAAGTCTTATAAACCTTTTTCTTATCCACAGTCCTTTAAAGTAGGAAAGAAATGTAAGTAACCTGATTTTAATAAACTCATATGAATTCATTTTCTGGTTTAGATAGGATTTAAAGACCAGGTAACACAGCTTGTTTACATTTTCAATAACTAAGTTATGTGAACACTGTTAGAGGTGTAGCCAGAGTTCTTGCTGCCTCGCTCAGTGCACAATAAAAAGTCTATAAAATGTCAAAATGATATATATAAAAACAAAATATCTGGGTTTATTTTGAAATAAAACATTAATTCTAATAATACCGTAAAGTACTATTTTGTTTGTTTTCCTTATACACAAAATCATTATAGTATTCTAAAAGTTTGATTTACTACTCTATCAGCTGATTTGTAGACAGTATGGTACAATTTCTCAGTCTTAGGTGTTTTTTTAATCCATTTGTACTTTGCAAAATTCTTCTCGCAACAGTCATGAAAAAAATTTACAGATGTATATCAGTATTTGGAACTGCATTCTGAAATTTATGAACTGCAGAAGTTCAAAGTTACCATCCTTCCACCTGCCTTCGAAAACACTACCGCAAAGAATCCAGTAAATGTAAACGCTGCAAAAGCACAAAGCTGGTAGAATTCTCTTGCGGCCTCCTCGCTTTTTCTTTCGCTGCTGTTCAAAATTTATTTGCATGTGTCATTTTTTCTCAATTTATTATTATTTTGTCTGATTTCCGTGCTATGTTTCCTAAAAGTGATTTTAAAGTGTTTGCAAAGAAAATTTACAAAACTGCATACTCGAGTACTTGTCTCGGCATGAAATTAAGCATAATGGTTGAGATACAGTCAAAGAACTATTAAATTGCGTTTAAAGAATGTTTCCTTCTAAGATAATATGTTGCCGAAAATTTTTCTTAACGGAACAGTTTTTTGGGAACAATTTTGAGAAAATGGGGAAGGCCAAATTGATTTCAGTAACTAATATTTACTTTATGTAAATTTTACTTACGTATGCTTAATATTATATTTCTTGCTGCTCATTCAGAGTCGTAGCTAGGGTTTTCAGCGCCCAGGGACAACTGAAGATTTCGCGCCCCCCCTACTGCTTGCCAAGGATGGAAAACATTTAATTCTAAAATGCCGTAACATCAGTTTCGCGCCCCTTGGATCCTGCGCCCGGGGACAGATGCCCCTTGCCCCCCCCTCTAGCTACGCCCCTGCGCTCATTTTAATTTATATGCCCTAAATACCATGTTTAACAGGCTGTTTACTTACAAATGCTTAATATCATGCTTTTTCTCCGAACATTAATGCACATCCCCTAAATATTACCCACCAGCGGCAAAGTCGCTGAGCACTGGTAGTTCGGTCCAGAGTTTGAATCGCATGAAGGAGCTGGCTGCATGGACTTTTTTGTGGTTTTCTCCATGTGTAACGTGTATACGAACCAGTTTGCCTTACAAAGACCTCCACGGAGGCATCCTTCCCATTAGGCAGATTTTTGATGGCATGTCAGCAACTAAAGGACAAATAAAGGCTTTGAAAAGCTGTCGAAATTATGCTTGGCAGTAGATTGGATCAAGCTCTGAATACAAAAACAGGTCAATTTGAAACCAAAATTGTAAAAGAAACATTTCAGTATGTTTCAGTCAGTCATAAAAACAATTGAAATGGTTTTGTCTAATCTAATAGCCATGTAAGAAATTGTATCGAAACTGAAACAATTTCTAATGATAGACATTTAAAAAAAAACATTTTCATCTTTTTATGTCCCAAGAATTTTGAAATATGTGGAAACAAAACGCCCTGATCTTCTCTGGTACCAAGTATTGCTGATTTCAGTGGTAAAAATCTTTAAAAAATTTTAACTAGGATTATAAATGATAGAATTTAATTAGGATTATAAATGATAGAATACTTTAAAACTTTTCTTTCTTTGTTTACTTTTTAATTTTAATTACCTAGAGTAAAGTAATTTTGCATCTATTACTCACATTGGTCTTTATTCTTAAATGGCTTATAGTTTTTTTTTTTCTTCTGGCTCGTAAAGTAAGCTGTAAATGCATGTGCCTCTAGTGCCAAAGGCCTTTTTTAATGATATTTTTTGTAATCATTATGTAATAAACGTGTGTATTTATATATATATATATAGATAGATGACCTAAAAGCATTAGTTTTGCTCACAGAACTTTTGCTCAGCTAAAATTATTGGAAAGAAAGAGGGAAAAAGGTTTTATATTTCATTATTAATGAGTAAATATTTGGCATAAGTCTATGCATAAAAAATAATTTCATATGCTTAGCTATAAAATTCTTTTCATAGGATAATATTTTTAGTTTGCAGTGTATGTATATGTAAATAAGCTATTGATACTATATGTAAGTGAGCTGAGCTGCATATCCTTTGAAATTTGCTACATATTCTATCTTGAAAGGTTCATGTGTGATATTTATATAGTTTCAATTAATTATTACATTTCACATGCAATTTTTTTATCCAGTATATGTCTTTTATATATATACTTTTATTTTTTTTTATTTTTGTAGGGTAAAGGCAAAGCAAGTATTTTAGCATCAGGCTGTTATTTGAAAAAAAAAAAAAAAAAAAAAAAAAAAAAAAAAAAATCCAAATTCTGCACTTCTAATATTTGCTAAATGTAAGTATTGAGGAATTTTGATATGCTTTGCACTAACTTTCATTTTAAGAGGGCAGATTATATTAAAATGAGCCATTTTACAACAGTGAATGTATTTGGCCTCATGTGGCTAAAATTCATCTTCTCAGGCTGCTTTCGACTATTGTACCCACAGATGATGCATGGTCATTTAGCTAATTTCTGTAGAATTGGAATTGCATTGATTTGAATGTCACCTACATACTAGCAAATATTTCGAGAGAATAAGATGGTTTGTAATATGTGTGATGCCTTTATATGATCTAAATCTAAAGCATGACACTAATCATATATATGCATGTATATACAGTGAACATAGTTTTTTTTTTTTTTTTTTTTTTTTTTTTTTTTTTTTTTTAAAACTTGTAAAGTGATGGAAAAATTGCTTCAAGGTGAAATTCAAAAGATACACTTCCAGCCAGACTATAGCGATCATGAAATCAAGAACAAACATCTTTACAATAACAATAGTTTATTATGAACAACAATAGTTTATTATGAAGGATGATACTTGTTTTCATAAGGAAAAGACAGACTAATTCTCCATATAGTTTTGTTCTTTTTACATTTTTATGTACATTATTTATTACATTTTTCATTAAGAAGCAACGCACAAGATAGACTATCCTATTTTATATTTGCATCAATATAATATTTACATATTCCTATATGTATTTATACTGCATTTTTACAGAAACTAAAAGCAAAAGACCTCTATGTGAATAAAATTACTAGGAATTACTTATTTTTGAAAGAAGAAAAAATTTTTTCTGGCGATATTTTTTTAATTGGAAAGATAAACTTTCTAGTATGGCTCATTGGTATTTGACTTGTCCTAATAGATAGGTAATGGATGTATTCTTAATAAAGAAATTTATTTTCAGGGAATAGAAGACATGGAATCTCTTGGACCAGCTCAGAATAAACAGCCCATTATAGTGTGTATTACAAGTTCATTCTATATTAAAGCAGTAAATCACTTAAAGCATGCCCAAATCATGCCATGAAGGCATTTGACATTCTATTTAAAACTAATTTTGTATTTAGCGTTCAATATGCACATACATCAACAAATTTTTATAATTTTGTGGCAAGCCTTTTGTATAATGTCAGCACTCCTAGAGCTTGTGTGGACTCTTTAAATACATGTTTTGAGTCTGAATTTATTGCATTTGTACATGCATTACATTTCATATTTTTTAATGTCATTTTAGTGTCATATATTTTCCATTTTTATATATGTATATATATGTACATATATTTCCTAATAAAGAGTTTTTCATGCATTGCTTGTTTTCACTTATATTTAAAATACTATATTTCGTTCATTGAAATTATTATAATTCTGCAGTTATGGTAATGATTCCTATTCGGATTTAATCAATAAATGAAATACATAATAATTTTCAGCAGAATTATGAAAAATGAATTTTTAGCTTACACATGTGAGCTATAATCCATATTATTATTTCACTTTAAAATTTACTTTTTTTTTTTTCTTTTTCCCAAATGAGACTTGGAATTAGCATATATAAAAATAAGTTTATAGTTATAGTCTAAAAGTATATGTAAGCATTTATTCACCTGTAATGATTAATGTATAGGAATTTGTATGCATATAACTTTCTCAAAAATAGAAAGCGTAACAAGCTAACTGAAGATTTTAGACTTTTTATTCATAATTTTGGGGTAATAATTAATTTTTAAGCTCTTCATAATTATGTAATAAGAAATAGAAACATTTCTTTTTGCAATATTTTGTGCAATATATGAAGCTAAAAACAATAGCATGAGAGTATTTTATGGTTACTTATTTTCTGAATCTCATTTAAAATAAAGCTGA